ATCCTTGCCTTTCCGGGCCAGCCACATAGCCCCGGGGCCTTGGGTCCAAGCATCCACCCTCTTCTCCATCACCGAGGCCACCCAACCCTCGTAATCAGCTGCCATCCAGCCCTCGGCAAGAAAAGACTCGACGGCCTTCTTCTCAGCTTTAGCTACCGCTTCGGCCTTGGCGATATCGGCGGCCTCGGCGGCGGTCTTGGCGGCAACTGCGGCAATCTCCTCGGCTGCGGCTTTCCCCCTGGCCTCAGCATCTTTGAGCCTTTGCTCCGTGGCCTCCTTCTCCAGCCGAAGGCTCGCCTCCACATCAGCAACCCTCTGCCTAAGGGTGACCTTCTCCTCATCAGCTTTCTTCAGGGCCTCGTCCGCCTGGCACTTGGCAATCCTCAGCTGCTCAACCCTTCGGGCCTGCTCAGAAGCAGCCAAGGCAGCCTGCACATAAACGCACATAAACGAAAATATGGCATCAGAATGGTTCACCGGGGGCTATCGTAAAAAAAGAAAGAATTGAAGGAGATAAAAAGGGAAGACAACTCACCATAGTGCTGTAGCTCGCGACTTTATAATCGAGGATGTCATCCCCGAGGCGGGCCAGCACTGACCTATCCTTCGGCGCCATGACCCCCCTCATGAAGCCGACAGGATGAAGGGTGCCATGCATAACTGAGGTCCCCGACTTGACAGGGAACTGGATGATCTCCGCCGGGCGGATTCCCTCGTCTATGGGGGATGGAGGAGATCGAGGAGGGGTAGTCGCAGGAGGATTCGAGGAAGGCTGCTCCTCGACTATCACTATGGGAGCATCCTTCTTCCCGGAGGCCCCCTTCTTCTGCTTCTTATTCTCCGGGGGAGCAACACCCTTCCCGGAATTCTTTCTCTTGAGCTCCTCCCCCTTAGAGCCCCCGGCACCAGCACCGGTATCACCTGCTTTGGAGGGTCCCTCCCCCTCCGGGGCCTGAGACGCCCCATCGTTCTTGAAGAATTCATCGACAGGTTTCTGAACCCCCGTCTCCTTCTTCTTTTTTGGCTCCTTGGCCAGCTTCTTCTTCAGAGCAGCAAAGCTGGAGACGTCCATGCTAACACCTGCAAAACAAACAGCGAGGTCAGACCAAGGGGTTCAAAAGACGGGGGAAGAGAAATAAGAACATGCAAATATCCTAAGTACAATAAAGCGGACCCTCCGGTAACTACCTCCATTGCCACCGAAGGCTCTCTCAAGGACTGGGTATTGTTCATCCTTCTCGCCCAAAAAACGGTACCGACGGAAGCCTAGGGCCAGCAAGTCTTCGGGGAGAGTGGAATCCTTGACGGTCACATGCTTTGTGGCCCCCGGTGGCAGAGCGGCAATCTTCTTCCCGTCCTTCTGAAGTGCGGCATTTCCCACCTTCGGGTGCCTCTTGAAGTGATTGCGCAACTCCCCCGGGAACGGATTTTCTGCCATCTTGACATAGCAGAAGCGGTCCTTCCATCCTTTGTGGGACGAAGGTACATCGTCAAAAAGCCTCCAGGGGGCAAGCTGCTGCAGGTTTGCAAACCCCTCGGAATTGGTATGCCCCCCTCGGCAAAGGTTGAAGCTCTGGAAAAAGAGATCGAGGGTCGCCGTTACACCTCGGGACCGGCAAAGCTGAAGGAAGCCGGTGATGTAGGAGTGGCTGTTTGGAGTTAGCTGGCAGGGGGCTAAACCCACATACCTCAAATACTCGAGGAGGAAGGGATGCAGCGGGAACCGAAGGCCCATGGCAACTGATAGCACATGGACGGCGAAGCATCCTTCGGGAGCTTGGGAGAGGAGATCGTTGGGCCCCGGTTCGATCACGGTGGCCGAGGGGCCCACATGCAGCTGGGTAACGTAGCATTCGGCCCGATCAGCCCTCGACTTCAGAGCGAGGGCAGCAGTATTCAGCCACGAATGCCCCTCCGGTATTCCCACGGGCTTCCCGCAGTCAACGGCGGTTTGCTTGCTCTTCTGGGGAGCTTTCGTCTTCTTCCTTTTCTTTCCCACGGCGACGCTGAGGGGTTCTGGATCTAGAGGCCGGGAGGTACTCGCCTCCCCGGATCCACGAAGGGGCAAGACGGCGACCGTAACCTCCTGTCGTTCCCTCTCTTCTTCTTCCTCAGCTACTTGGAGTGCGAGGGCCATTTCTTCATCAGCAGCAACTTGTTCAAATTCTTCAGCCTCCAGCTCAACCCGAAGGTTACTCTGTACCTCCTCAGCCACGGCAAGGTCATTATTGGTCGAGGACTGCTCGCTCGATGACTCCGAATCAGAAAAGCTCCCTATTGCAGCTGAGGGCTCCCTCGAATGGTTCTGGGAATCGCTTGCTGATGACATCCTTCGGAATCAAGAGAACGCAAGTATGGAAGGAAAGAAGGATACTGGGGGTTTCCTAGGAAGGCTCTAACACTTAATCTAAGAACAATAGAGCAAAGTATGCTAGAAGAATCGAAGAACGGTGAAGAACTGACCTCGAAACTTGGGGTTTGATCGAACAGGGCTTTCTCTCTCTAGAAAACAAAAGGGCAGAGCTTCGCTATCACAGAAATCGCACAAGGGATATGAATTCGGGCTTGGGGTATTTATAGGCTCCCAGCCTCGAAATCTGGGCCTCGATTTAGAAAGGCCATCATTACGGGCCGCCGGCTCAGCCAATGGGTGGCACCCGCCCACCTTCGACCAACGAGGACACGCCACGTCAACCCCTCTTCCAACGGCTATATTACAACGACTATATTTCGGCAGAACTGGGGTGCCTTCGAATGGTAGCCTCCGGCTATCACTCACCACACCCTTCTGCCAGCAAATTTCATCAAACGCCTTCGAGCTTGCGGCAGCGTAAGCCCCCGACTTGTCAATATTATCACCCCTCGGGTTCACATCAACACATCATAACTCCTTCAGCCCGAACTCACCTTCGGCCTAAAGGAGTGGGGGACTGGGACACACCCCTCGGGAATCACACCCTTCGGCGGAGACAGAATATCAAGAGTTTCCACAAGTCACTTGCGGAAATAAGGCAGCCCTCGTCACAACACATGCAGGCAATACATCTATGCTTTCCCCAGAAAACCCTCGACATGTGAGGGACTGGGAAAAGCCTTCTGGAGTCATACAGGTGTTACACTGCCCTCAGAAAGCCCTCGACATGTGAGGGACTGAGGGGAGCCCCCGGCGAACATGCGAAGGTTACGAATATGTTCCCTCAGAAAACCCTCGACATGTGGGGGCCTGAGAGAAGCCCTCGGCAATCAGCAGAAGACGAGTTCTCCAACAAAGGCACCCAACGAAATGATGCAGCCTCCGGGAGAATCAACACAACTACTCCTTTTCCCTCGAGTACCTTTCGGCAAAAGGAGTGAGGGACTCCTGATGGAGTATATGGCCCAGGAACCCCCGGCCCATAGACTCCTACTTCTCCTACGTAAGCCCGCTGAGCCCAGGAAGCACCTCAGGCCCAAATACAATGGCCCAAGCTTCAGAGGAGCCCAGAATACACACTGGGGGGTGCCTTCGGCCTCCTTGGCCGAAGGCTCCAGAAACTCACGAAGCAGCCCTCTCCGACATACGAAGCTGCTGGGAGAAAACGGCGAAAAACATAAGCCTTCGGCATTACCAAGCCCTCGGCATAGGGAAGCCTTCGGCTGAACTTAGCCTCTGCCACTCGGGGCCTTCGGCTACACAAGGAGCCCTCGGCTACACAAGGTGCCTCCGGCTGAACAAGCTCAATCATCGAAGATTCCTTTTAGAGACAGCCAACCACCGCATTTAATGCCACGTCACATCCGCCAACCGCATTCAATGCGGTTGACGTACCACTGCCAGCACCACTAGGCTGATGTGACCCTTCGGCCGTTGGATTACTGACACGTGTCCCCTCATCGCATTTATTGCTGCTATAAATAGCAGCCTATTTCTCCTTGTAATGGACACAACCTACATCTCGACTCCACGCTGAGTTCATTTAATAAAATCGACTCTCTCTCCTCCTATTTGCTCTGACTTCTCTCTAGTTATTTCCGCAATAACCCCTCGGATTAGATACCCCCCGGGTAGACTATCCATCAGCATCATATCAAAGCGATGATGAAAAGTAAATAGGTACCTCTTTTCACCAATTTCTTTAACTAACATACCCATGGGCGGAGCTAGGGGAGGGCCATCCCTGGCCTTGGCCCAGCCCAAATTTTAAAAATGCTTGTATTTTTAGTGTAAAAAATTATGTGTAAAAAAATTCAAAAATATTCTTTGTACCGGCCCAGTGCGGCCCAGTGCCTTGGCTCCGCCCCTGGACATACCCTTCCCCGGCCACCAAAGCGAGAGCATCATCTCTTTAAGGTCTGGGAATCTGACCTTTCTGTCCGTCAAAATCTGGCCGATCACCGGAAAGCCTGCCGAACCCACCTCCACCAGAGCTCCCTCGGCTTCAAACTCATCGAGGTCCAATTCCTCCTCCTCAGCCCCGATCGCCATTTGTTTATACCTATCAACAAAGTTTTCCATGCTCATCACCTATTACTCCGCCGCCACACCATCGCTGTTCACCGTTTCGAAAACAAAGTCGCTGCCTGCACTGTATCCGTCCTCCTAGACTGTTCGTCGAAACCGCTACCTACCTTGCCTCCAATTTCCCTCATTAAATAATCAAAGTAGCCGTCCTTACCCGCCAATCTGTTCGCCCTCGATCTGCCTCCAAAACGCCGCCCAAACCGGCCAATCCAACATGCCCTTCGATAGACTCGAAGGCAGGCGAAAACTAGGTGTTGCGTGAGGCAACCCTAGAGAGAGAAAAGCCTAAGTAAATACAGTATATATTTAAAAAGCCAGTTTTGGAAAATTTGCAAATAAATTTAACATTATTTTTAAAACAATTTATTTATGGATTAATAAATAAAACGCGATCAAATAAATCATATAAATAGTATAAAAAGTACTATCGTATTATGTATAACTCAACATTGTATAATGTTATCACACTATGATTAAAAAGTATAACATCTTTAACATCCTCTTAATAGGCAATAATTTATTATATAAGTTGTTATAATATAAATTGTACCCCAAATGTACTCCTATATTAACTTTGGGCTACAATTTTTTTTGGTAGATTCTATGGTACCCATAAGGTACCATACCTTTGTCCACATGGACCAATGAGAATGTAGCAGTTGAATTATTTAAATCTAAATTAAAAATGATAAAGTGATGTGGTCCAATCAAATGAATGATAGGTACGGTACCCCATATTTTAGAAAGGTACCGGAGTTGTCACCTTTTTTTTTATATTTCAAATCAATAATAATCACGTACGTAGTATACAATTTGTGGCTATTCAGCCGGAAAAATTAACGTCCACGTCGTACAGGAACTCCTTCGCGCAAGCCGGGCACCGATTGACAAACGCCTCACACCGCTTACACAGGCAGAGATGGCGGCAAGGCATGAGCAACACCGTCGCATTCCGGCGGCCGCAAAGCCTGCACTTGATCCTAACAGGGTCAGACTGCTCCGGATCAACCGACGACGACTGGGCGTCCTCCTCTAACAGCACGCCGTGCGGTGGTTCCGTGCGCGGCCTCCCATTCCTTCCGCCGTGCAGCGCCGCCCTCAGAGAAGCGTTGGTCCGCTGGAGAGTCCTCAGCCTCTCGTCCAGCTTCGCCGCGTGGGCTCTGTAAGCAACCAGCGTGTTCTCTAATTCAGCGTTATGTGCCCTAATTCTCGCCAGCATTTCATCGTGCCTGTCGTTCATGTCGTTTATAACCCTCTTCTCCACCGTAGAGAGAGTCACCAGATGTTGAGTGAACATTTCTGCCATTATATCCTTCACACGATCACTCTGCATGTGTTTAGTTTAAGCATCATCAAATTAAATACATTGTATAATATTATCAAACTATGATTAAAACCCAACATATATATAATTCTTATTCATTGAATGAATACGAGCAGAGGCGGAGCTGGGCACTCGGCCGGACAGGTACAAAGAATAGTTTTAGAAAAAATTTACACGACATTTCTTACCTTAAAAAACAAGTCATTTTTCAAATTGGGGTGGACCAGGGCCTCCCGCCCCTAGCTCCGCCCATGGATATCAGTACTCATTACTACCTCTAGTTTGGAAAGGTAGCACACTTAAATAGAGTAGAGTAATTTGAGTATATTTTGTGAAATAAATTTGATGAATATATTATGGTGTATATTAAGAGGTTCAAAAATGATAACTATAATGCTACATACGTGTTATTTTTAATGTTTAATGACTCAATTTATTTAAGTGTGCTAGTTATTTTTAAAATAGAAATTACAATCTTTAACTAGGACATTCGCAAAAGAAGGTGATAACTTTTAATAAAAAACGGAAGGGAAATAAACTTTAACTAATAATATATGGAGTATCTATATATGAGATGAGAGAATATTTATATACAAAAATGCTATAAAAATATTTTTTATTAGATATACTCTATTAAAAAGAATTTAACAAAGTACAACTTTTTTTTATATATTTGACTTTTAAAGTCAATCCTATCAAACTTTGACCAATTATATATTTGAACATATGAATATTATAGTGATATGACGAAAATGATATTAAAATGCCCTTTATCAAAATACTATAATAAAGGTATAAATTATTAAATTTTATATAAACGTACTCCGTGTTAGTTAAAATAATTGGTCAAAAATTACCATTTTGACCGAAAAAGTTAAAAATTGCTAAATAAAAAGGAATGAATGTAGTCAAATTTATAAGCTTCATAATTAAAAGTATATCCATACTAGTTAAAAGTCTCAAGCGATTCACTTAGGGCAAAAATGCTATAAAGGTGGGAATGATTAAAAGGTTATTTCATTGATACATGAAGAAGATGAACAGTAGAAATGAAAACCGGTTATTATTTGATTCTACAATGGAAAGATTATTTAGAAAGACTCAACATTCAAATAGTTTTGTAAATTTAGTCAACATAGTCAACACAACAACACTGCAACAGTGTATACGTTCAACATAATGCCTCCATTCTACTATGTGTTACTTATCATGTTTATTGGGTCCTAAAGTATATTTGCATGGGAATGAGACTAACACTAGTAGAAAGTGTTGAATTATTGAAAAAAATACGGAGTACTTGGTATGTACTTTAGAGTTGATCAACTTTGAAAACTGCACCAAATCAATTCGGGACAAAGAAAGTACAAAGTAATACATTAACAAACTCTAGATTCACCACTTACATAGTTTTTGGCAATATTTTGGATGGTGGGGAGATCTTTGTGCAGATCATGAACAGTCATAGGACGGGGATGATGAACAACATCCGCGTCCTTGTTGCTGTCTTCGCTGCGCAACAATGCAGCGTAGGCCTTTAAAGACGACAACCATTCCGAGTCTCCTCCGCTTTGCTCCAGCGCCTGCGGGCCCGAAATGCCGCTGCTTAAGCGGAGAGCGGTGTCGAAATTGTACGGCAGCGGGTTGGCAGATGAAGACGCCAATGCCTCGCGTTGGAACAAGTTTAGCTGCCTCGCCGCCGGAGAGTTGGTGAAGCGCGGCGGTGGAACCGGACATTTATCAACTCTCTTCATCTTCTTCTTGCGGTTATCTTTCTGACCAGACGACATTTTTACTTTGACTATCTTTGATCATCTTCTCCAAACTGCGTATGTCTTTTTAAGAGATGAGATGAGATGTTTCGAAGAGATGCATGTCTTCGCCGCATAATACTACGTACGGACGTTTCTCTTGGTTATGATTTGAGTACTCTGTACTTTTCAAATGGAGAGACGCCTTTAATTTATTTATTTTCTTTTATTTCTTAATTCGTTCTTATAAAAATATACTAGCGTTTACTCGCGCAAAGCGCGAGACTGTTTGCCTAATATTTAAATATTGTTCATTCCCGTAAAGAACTATTACATACGTAATTATTATGCGATTTTTGTAAATAGTTAATGAGATATCCTACATATTTTAAAAATTGTCAGATCAGTTGTATTCCATGTCAACCATTTATTGTGTGAAAAATATGTCTATACGACTTTAAAGTATGTGATTATGTTATTCGGTTGTATTTTTTGGTATTTTTCCTTTTGTCCCATAAAACTTGATTAAATTTGACTCATATAGAATGATAAATTCATCACTATGTGATTGAAAATTGTTTAGTGAAGTCATAAATAATTTTAGCCACATATTTGTTATTTTAAATGGAAATGAGGGGGCATGAAACAATTGTAAATGACGATAGGTTTTAAGGACCATGAACACAATATATGGGCTGATTAGCTTTTGAACCTTGAATTAAATAGAACTGCTTGGACTTACACATCCATAAGAACATATGAAGATATATATGGCATCGTTTAGGGACATCGTATATGGACAGTCCAATATTGTAGCATCTTCTTCATAGGGTAAGTCTCTCCTATTGACATCGTATATGGACAGTCCATACGGCGGTCCAATATGAGACATGAAGAAGATGCTACAATATTGGACCGTCCCCCCCGAACCGCCGTCATGGAGTGCAGGAGAGAGTTTAGGGTATGGAAGCAGTATTTTAATTTTTTTGTTTGCTTGCTATTTATTTTTCATGATCAAACTGTTTGTTTTTCGGTTGATTACTTTTGTTGTTTTAAGTCTCTTGCATTAGGATTGAGTAATGGGAGGTCTGCTTTAACCGTCGTCGTTGACTCATTAATGCCCATTATAGAATGAACAAGTTATATTGCTTTTTTTGGAGGTGATTGACTCTAAGTGTGGTTCGAGGGTTGGCGGTTGCATGTGGTCCTTTTTGTCGTTTACCCCTATTTGAATGATGTGATATCAATTTAAGTCATCTGTTTTGACGATAAAAAACATACAAGAAAATGATTAGCCTAAGACTACAACGGGATGAGACATAGAACGAAAAAAATCTAATGAATCCTTACAGATCGCTAACGCTACAATGATCACTACAACAAAATTGACTTTTTGTAACATTTTCTCCGTAACACTTTTATTTTTGTTACATATAGTATCAACAACTCACATTATGCAACACTTATATATAAATGTTGCAAAATGTCTAAATTATTTAATATTATGCAACACTTATTAAAAACTGTTACAACTATCAAGTATTTGTAACATTTATTTTCAATGTGTTGCTAAAAATAATACGGAGTAAATGTTATCATAATAATACTTATGTAATATAATTAAAAATTACGTTTAATTCGATGCAACCCATTTTTAAAAATAAACATCAATTTCTTCAATTTAACAGCAACAAGTAACTACGTAGTACTAATTTCTTTAATTACATTCAATTTTTTCATAATACTCTTTAGTCTTAACATCTCCCTAATTTATAATAATACAAAGTTTTAGAATTTTCTTATAAAGAAAACCACCCCCATTCAGATCTGATCGAAACCACTGCCGCCCCTGCGCCCACCGCCGCCCCTGCGCCCGCCTCCGCCTCCGTGCCCACCGCCTCCCTTGCGCGGCTCCTCCTTTAGCCGTTCCTGCTGATATGCACTAGTTTATAGTGCATAAATGTATGTTTTTTATTTATTTTAATTTGTGTGGATTGTTTACCATTATTAGTTAGTTTGTAAGCATTTGTTTTGTTTCAGTTGTAATTGTTTTTGACCTCCATTTATAGTTGTAGAATAGTGGTAGAGTTGTTGGCAAAGAAAATGAGAAAAAGTCAACAGGAATGCTGCCCAGGAAGATCCACCTGACCGGGTAGAAATAATCCACCCGGTCGGGTTTGATTTAAAAACCGAACTTCAGTGGAAAGAGCTACACCCGGTCGGGTCAACTAATCCACCCGGTCGGGTCTGACTTGACCCGGGACATTTTAACGTGCTAAAACACAAGAACGTGGAAGATTATCTAATTTGGACATGCACCCGGTCGGGTGGGCACTTGACCCGGTCGGGTACCCGGCCCAAGGTGTTGAAAAACACCTATAAATAACACACTTTTCCTTCACTATTTTTCACTCCTTCTTTCATACTCTTAAGCTCAGTTTAGAATAGTATTTCTTTTATATTTTTATAGCATGTTTAGTCTCCAAATGAGGAGCTAAACTTCCATTTCTTGGTGTTGCTCTTGAAGCTTGTTGATTATTAAAGTTGTGAGTTATTTTCTTAACTTCTTCCCTTGAATATTAATTATTTTCTTAATCTATCTATATATTAATGTTGGGGAGTGTTGCTAAGATGACAATTAGTTAACATCTCGACATTAGTTATAGTAGTATTTATTTTCTTCCTCTATATATTAATGTTGGGGAGTGTTGCTAAGATGACAATTAGATAACATCTTGATATTGGTTATAGTAGGATTATTCATATTTAATCTTCTTCCTTGAATATTAATTCTTCCCTTAATCTATCTCTATGTTAATGTTGGGGAGTGTTGCTAAGATGACAATTAGTTAACATCTCAACATTAATTACTACTAGAAACGATCAACGAATCGATGGTTAATCGTTGATGGTTTCACAAGTAAGTAACTTCGGTTTATTAATGCACGGTCGTGGTTAATAAACTTAAGAGAGATTAATTTTGTTGGTTAAACCGAAACCGTTGTGTTGAGGTTATCAATCTCAATTGATTTCATCAAGGAATTGAGAGATTAAATGCTACTATCAAGTCGGTACGGTGTTCTACACTTGACTAATAGTAAGGGTTATTAATGAACGGTCGTTGTTAATAACTACCCTCGATGAATTGGATATACTCCTCGATTGAGTATTTGAGAGGGGATGAGTTATAGATATAACAATGATCGACTAAAATATATCAACAAGTGGAAAGTAGCAATGCCAAGTCCTTTTTATCTTTGAATTAAATCACATTTAAATGGTTCATCTTTCTGTTTAATTAAATTAAATCATTCAATCCTAAACCCCCCTTTTATTTACCAGTTCTATATAAAAAGAGGATTACTTCTTTCCCTGTGGATACGAACTCTACTACGCTATACTACGTATAAGTGTTAGTATTGAATTTATTTTGACGCACCGTGACAAAGTGCACGTCACCTGTGCCTACCGCCGTTCCTACACGGCTCCGCCTATCTCCGCTCTTGCGCCTCCCGCCGCTCCTCCGCCCACTGCTGCTCCTCTTCTGCTATGACACCTTCCTCCGCGCTGCTCTCCTTTTATATTCTGGTAAAATGATTTTAGAATATGCATTAAGTTTTTAATTTTTTATACCCTGTCTTCGATTTCCTTATACTTTTATAGTTTTATCTAGGATTTGTTTTGTGTCTTTAAATTTGAGATAGATTTTGAATATTACATATCAGAATTCAAGCAGAAGAAAATATCCCCGTGAAATTCTCTGTTTTTCTCGTTGGCAGCTTCCTTCTCATTAGCCTTGAAGATAGTTTCAGAATCTGTTAATAATTCTTGATTAATGCAATTGAAATTCTAGTTGGTGGACACTTTTTGAAAATCTTGTTCTAGTTATTTGGACATTTTTTTTTTCAAAATTACACTTTATTTGGACACTTGTTAATGCAATTGAATCTGGTTTTTGTTTGAAGAAAAGTGATTCTCTATCACAGTGGACTTTTTCTGTAGTTTAAAACAAGCACAAGCTCTAATTATTTGCAATAAGTTACATATATATTTCTGTTTTGTATGTTACATAATAATTTTTTAATGGCATAGTTGACTGGTAGCTGCCCTTATACTTAGGAGGCTAGGTTGCATGAAAGTAATTTTATCAACAACACTTCTATTCTGTAGTTTCCAATTGTTCAGGTAAGTTAATGCCCACACTTCATTTAGTTGAATGAATTCTTAGTAGGGAGTGAATATTGAGATGAAATATGCTAACTTTTTCTTTGCGACTTTCTAAAGAGTATGTGGCAAATAATTAGAGCTTGTGCTTGTTTTAAATAGACTAACTTATTTTCTTATGCTCTTTCACCTGAGCATATATAATGATGTTTGCATAGTATAATTCTGATTGTTGCGGATAAACACACATTGTGTTCTTGATTAATGATCTAGAATATACAATTAGACATATTATGTGTTCAGATTTTAACATCCATTTGGATTTCTGTTGTTTCTGACCTTCTAAAGGTGGTTGTATGTATGCCTCTGGCATTGAGGATTAATTTAAGTATTTAACGCAGTTTATGCTATAAGAAATATATGAGCTTCACTGATCCACATTTTAGAAGTTTGATATTCTATTTTGTAAAAATATGACAGGCTCTCTGTGAAGATGTTAAAGCAGTTAGTCATATGGCCCTGTTTGTCACTTTGTCCTATGGGTTTTCAGTTACCTACCACTTGATATGAAATAGTGCTCCTCTTTTAGCCTCTTACATTATTCAGAGGATGACTTGCTGGATCTCTTCCTCTCATATATGACCTACTAGTTTTGTGACGCGCGTTGCGCGATTAGCTAAATGCCCAAGAAATTTTTATTTGAAGTAAACATTAGATTTTATTCTTGCTTACATTGGTGAAAATGACACTCACAGTTAGCCTCTTTTAGTTACAAATGTTACGGAGTACATAGGACCATAGGCATTAAGTTTTAATCCAATATACCCTATAACTTTTAGAATTAGTAATGTTTTCAGCATCATTTATGTATTTGAAGGCATTGTTATTGTGGGTA